GGGGGGGTCTAGTAAACATAATGTTCCTCATGTAACTGTAGATTAATGATACCAAAATAAAAAAATAAAAATAAAAATAAAAACCTATTTGCTCACATTGATGGAGCTAGAGGGTATCATGCTCAGTCAAAAAAGTCAGGCAGAGAACAAATACCAAATGATTTCCCTCATTTATGGAGTATAACAACGAAGCAAAACTGAAGGAACAAAACAGCAGCAGACTCAGACTCCAAGAAGGGACTAGTGGTTACCAAAGAGGAGGGGAGGGGAGAGGGAGGGCAGGTGGGGAGGCAGGGAGAGGGGGTTTGTGGGGCATCATGATTGGTGTACATGGTGTGTGTGGGGTCACGGGGAAAGCAGTGTAGCTGCTCAGAGAAGACAAATAGGGACTGTGGCATCTTACTACAACTGAAGGGATAGTGATTGCAATGGGGTATGGGAGGGGGCACTCAGTAATACGGGTGAATGTAATAACCACATTGTTTTTCTTGTGAAACCTTCATAAGAGTGTATATCAATGATACGTTAAGAAAAAAAGAGAAAAAAAAACTATTTGCCAGGTCAACTGAAACTTAACTGAAGGTACCTATACAGAGGCAAGTTGGCTACAAACGAGTGAAACAGTATGCCTCCCTCTTGGAGAATTCATGTATTAAAAAAACCAGCAACAGAGCAAGAGAAAAAGGTTGGGGAGGGGGAGACAACCTATGCTGCTTACAAGATGTTAAGTTTAGGGAATGCAATAGAGGGAACATTTTCTAGTATTCTTGTTCGTCTAGGTTCCCATTTTCTCAAGCCTGGTTTTACAAAACACAGTCTTAAAAACATAGGAGCATTTCCTTCGGAGACAGGTGTGAAAGCAAAGGGTAACCGGACCTAGCTAAATGGAGGGCTTCTCAGTGGCTCAGTCCAACACCGATCACAAATGGGGTATTGAAAAAGTCGGGGAGTGCACCTTCCAACCTTTCAACTGGCATTGAAAATACCTGGATTCGGATCACCTTGCTCTTCTACCAGGAAAACACAAGCTCTCCAGGGACGTGGATCTGCAACCCCATGTATTATTTACCCCGCTGAGATAATCCGGATACAGAAGATCCAGATGAGAAACCTCTTGAAATGCAACTGTGCTTCTCCATCAGGCGGCGGTGGAGGTGGGGGTGGGGGGATGTGAGTAAGGAATCAAAGGGGAAAAAAACCCGATATACAAAGCAAAATTTTTAAACTGACATTTTTACATTTCCCAGCAATAAAATATGACGTTTTTGGTCCCCCCAATCCCAAGTAAAAAAGGGAGTTGGGGAGAAAAGGAACGACTGACTGCGTTTTACTTTGCTGGGAGCCTGACGGGGCAAGGATGGGAAGACTTAAAAGAGGTTTGGAGGCCAGATCCTGACATTCTTGAGCTCACAGCCAGACCTCAGTTGCTGGTGGCGGCTCCCGCGTCAAAGTGGGAAGGCGAGGGAGAACCCACGCAGCCACCTAAATTTGTAGACGGCATCGAGGCGGTAGGAAAAGCCACCGTTAGAACCACTACAATCGTGATTCCCAGAGTAAGGCGGAGGACGCTAAAAAGAAAAATCCCCCAACCCCCCCAACCCCCCAGTAAGGGGCGCTCTGCAATTGGGCCGCCCGGGTGTGACTCAAGGACACCGGATCTAGAAAAGGCGCACGGCCGCAGGTAAAGCCCCCACACTCCAGAGGGCTGAAGTGGTGCTGCGTCCTGGGGCCGTCGTCCTCCCCCGCCCCAGCCCATCAGCACTCTCAGGGCTCCACTAAGACCGTGTCTTCCACGTCTCGTCCCCTGTACACCGCAACTGGCAGCTCCCACAAGGCCGGGGGCCGCTTACCTGGCCGCCGCTCCCCCTACCGATGTCAGGGTCTGGGGAGCTACCTCTCGCAACCGTTAAACTGGAGGGAGCGTGCGCGCGCCCGGTGTCTTGCCTGCGATTGGCGGCTCGGAAGGGGGCGGAGACGGCCGAGCTGCGGCACGCGCAGTGACCCCTCCCTGCACTACCTTTGGCAGCTCGCGCCAAAGAGGAGGGCCCGTCGCTTGGGAAATGATGAAGGAGGGGGAGGGGCTTATAGCAAGTCCTCTCGTCTGATTGGCTCTCTGGGAACCTACAGTTGCCTCGCGGAAAAGAAGTCTCAGATCCCCGCATGCGCAGTCGATAATGGTGAGTCTCAGGCAGGTGAGGGAGGCCGTGGCGGGAGTGTGGCGCCTGCGCAGACCCGGGAGCCCGGCTGCCGTCCTTTTGCGGTGATTCGGCCTACCCAACGACATTGGGGGCGGGAGGCTAGAACCTGAGGCCAGGTAAGCGTCTGCGAAGAAGCCAGGTACTCAAACGGTTGTCAGAGTTGTCAGGAGCTCTGGAAAAAAAGACTAGGAGCCGAAACGGCTGAATTTTCCGGCTCGCGATCCTGAGTAGCGTAGCCAGTTGACCTGAGGCCTCCCTGGTGGTGAGGTGACGCTGGCCCAGACTTCTGACCTGTTTTCTTTGCACCTAGTTTATCGTGGGCTGGTGGAGGTCGGCCCCGGGGCTTGTCAAGGACTGGTGTGAGGAGGGTAGCAGAACCCACCGCCCCGGAGAGAACGGGTCCACCGAGGCCCGAGGAGGAATGGAACCATCCCACTTACTAAGAGCCCAGGGAGCTCGTGGCACGCAGTACGTGCTGTTTAAGGCTGGCACTTGGTAGGTATCGGCATCGCCCTTGCCAGGCTTTCCCAAGGACAGAGAAGCCGCGTCCCGTCCTTTGGGCGCCAGGCCACCTTGGTTCTCACCGTTCAGTTCACATGCTTCCGAGTAGGTAGCCTTTAAGGTATTTCCAGATTTCCCTCCAAGTGTCCTGGCCCCAAGTAAAGGGACTTCGCCAGCCCTATCGCGCAAATGTGCTTGAGAAGCCACACGCAGGTGGTGATAGGCCCTTGGACTGACAAATCTGCCAGGAGGCATTTCATCTCATCTGAGTCTGCTAACAATTATGTTTCAACAGTAGAGATTCAATCTCTGTCCAAAAACCCATTTGTGTATGGAAGATTTCAAGCTTAAATAAATTGAATCCCCTCTCCCCCTGACCCCGTTGTGTTAATCCATCAGTCAATACTATGCTCCTGTAATACCTAACCAAAATCAAATTATTTTTCAGCACATAGCTCCAGTTTTCAGTGACCATGTTTCAAACCCACCCAAAGGGGGAGTGGGGGGGAATTACTAATTTCAGTTGGTCACAAAATCTATTATTTGATATTGTAGAATCTTGCACTCACAGAATTAATAAGTGTGAATTCTTGAGACATTTCCAAGCAGAGAGGTGTGTGTTTCCTTACAAGAAAAATATTAACCCCCAAATCAAGTACTAATTAGTTCCTAGCCATGCAAGAGGTAGGAGATCATCACTTTTGGCTACAAAATCCGATAGGCTCTGTTCAGTTTTTTGTTTTTGGCTGTGTGATTTTATACAACATTTAAATCTATTAATGTCTTAATAAACCAACATATTCTGGGGCTAGTATTCTGATTAACCTAGTTATCTTGTTAACCAACTGATGTGAAGTATTTTGGTAAGGTTACAAACACCTAATTTAAATTAAGCCCTTTGGTGGGTCCTTAATTTTTAAAAAACCAAAATGGAAATTGCCTTTGACTATTTAGACTAGAGAAAAGGAATGCCTTTTCCAAAACTACAGCTAAAAAGGTACCTTTTAAAGTCCACAGAAATTACTTCTGAGTATAAAAAACAGAAGGCTTCAGAAATTCCACTAAATAAAAAGTACAACTTCATCTAAACCTCGGCCCCATACTGGAGATTTTTGCATTACTTGTATGCAACCTTAACATGAATATTTCATTGCCTTTATAATGGTATGATTACCATATGCTTTTACTGTAATATCAAATCGCTAAAGTATCTCTCTTTTGCCTTGAAGGCTTCCAGTTGACAGCATTTGAATGGAGATATTTCACACAGATTGGGGTAAGGTCAGGCTATTCAGTAATAGTGGCCGCTAATAGCTTAGTTTCTGTCGTATTTATGTCCAAACTGTTTGTCATTTGGGGGGGCCATTCTTCCACAGCAAAAAAAATGAGGAACCCTAAATAAGTCTATATTTTAACCCTTAAACATGAGAGGACATGATCAGGTATACCATTTAAATATAAAATGTTTTGTCTTTCTTGTCTTTCATGACTTTTCTTCCTATAGTAAGTAATTTCTAAAGATCTCCATGTTTAAACCAGGACTTGCTTCCTTGGTGATTTTATCTTGCAGTTTAAGCCTGCTGGGAAGTCAAACTATTCTTGGAATCATAATTATGTCCTTGGCACCTGATTTCATAAACCACAATTTATGACCTCACCAAACAGCATAGCTTTGGTAATTTCATGGTTTCCAAATACTTCTTAAATTGGACCATACTGAGTAAAATAAACTGCAGGTCACTATTCTAGATGCCTTTTCACTCTGAGCTCTAAAACAAAAGTCCATGAAATAGCCAGTTTGCAGATTGGGTTTGAGATAAGACCACAGTTGATGAGTGTGTTAGTCAAAGGTTCTTGGGCTTTGTGGTTTAGGGATCCTAGTGCTTTCCATTTGTGGCAATACACATATCAACTTTTTCTCACGCTAGGTGATATTACCTCCATTTTACAGATTGGCACTTAGATAGGAAATGTGGCCAAAAGTGACTAAGTCATGGAGTCAAGACACTGACACAGGTCACAATGACTACAAAGCAGTATGGCCTTTTAGGGACAAAAAAATGAGAGGAGGAGTCAAGAGAAAGTTAAGGACAATGAGCTAACACTTTTTAAGGATCTGGGGAAAGAATAGATCTGGAAAAGTTATGAAGGTAAAGAAACAAGCAGTAGAAAGGATACATTTAGTTTCAAAAATGGAATACCTAATGTTCTTTCAAGGTAAATCTTCCTGAGATAATCCACATGGCATAGCACCTTCTTGTCAAATACAATAAACATATCTGAAAGTGCTTTGAAAACATTTGAGTCCTAAATAAATACAAAGGCATCATTAATGATATCAGAGGCTTTGAGACTTTTAGAGGAAAATGTAAAGTGTTATTATTGCTACTTTTTTTATGTGTTTGTCTTTTTCTAATAGTGTAGTTGATAAAGTATAAGGTTCCTGTTAAATGCCATAAATAGAATAAAATCACAGTGATGCACACAAATAGGACAGGTGTAATTTTCTGTGGATTCAAAGTTTTCTCTAAGAAAAAAAGAAACAGAATGGGACACTTGTATTGTATGAATAGAAAGCTCTTCTCTTCAGCCACTTAATTGTCTCTTGAGCTTTGCAGTAGTAAGCCTACTAAATTTAGACCAGACCCTAAGTAGTCTCCTTTAACTCTTGTCTCCCAAATCAAAAACAGCTCTCCATTTCCTCCTCCATCTATTATGCCTTTCTTATTTGAGAAAGAATTATCTGTAAATACTTACTGTGGTACAAGGTGCTTTATCTTCAGTGTAAACCCCCTGGCCTAGGAGAGGACACTGTGTTCCAAGCCTGAGCTGCAGATCCTGGGGCTTCCATCTGGGGAGGTGCTCCTGCCCTTCTCAGAATTGCAGACAGTTAGGAGAGGAGGATGAGCTACATGTGGAAGTTGTAGAAAGGCTGCTTTATTTTCACTCCCATTCTGCAGGGAGCACCAAAACAGAATTATTCCTAAGGATTTCTCAGAAAACCATTCTCTCACTTAGCTTCTGATGCCATTAACTGGCCATTTTACCTTGTTAATGCTACAATGTTGCATGTCAAGTCTGTTCAAACTGACTGTTTGGTCCTTCACCATTGATGAGGTCATGGTTTTGAGACCTGCTTATTTTATCCCTTTATTGCGGAAGGGGAAACAAGACCCTTACTGAGCAGATAATCAGCACTTATGAATTCTGGTCTCAACTTTTTAAATACTATAAGCATAAGAAACAGCAGCTTTTAAAAGTGTCCTAGCAGCAGGAAGAACTTGCTAATTCCTGAGTTCTAGTATAATGCCTCTCAAACTGTGGGAATGGGCCTCTGACTCACCCAAAGATCTCAAGACACAAGTTCTCCTTGAGAAAGTCGGGTAGAGCCTGACGTTCTCACTCCTAACATCCACATGGTGCTGTTGCTCCTGTTCTGTGGACCACACTCTGAGGAGCAAGATTCTGGAGCTACACTGTCCAGTACAGTAGCCACTGGCACGTGTGGCCAGTCCAAACTGACATGTGCTGTGTGAATACACCCCAGATTTTAAAGACTTCATATAAAAAAAAGATGAAATAACAATAATTTTCATATTGCTTACAGGTTGAAATACTTTGGATACATTGGGTTTATATATTAAATCTTTTTAAATATAATCAACTTCAGTTTCATTTTACTACTTGGACTGTGACTACTAGAAAATTACCTATTTCACATGTGGCTTGCATTATATTTGTATTGGACAACACTGTTCTAGAACACTAATGCAGTAGAAGCAACATTTTTGGTATTTTTTCAGATGACCCAGTTTCTCAATTCTCTTGTTACCATTTCACCCTCCTCTGTTAGCTCAAATCAACATTCGTTAAATTATTTTCTCTAAATGTTACCCTTTCCTACCCATTATCCTCCTTTACACTTTCTCCGTCTCCGTCTCTGCCATCATGATCCTGGGGATCACACCAGCAGTTAGACAGTCCTCACAGCCAAGATACAAGCAGCACCTTTGCTCAGAGCCCTTGGCCATGACATTGAAAGTGTGTGGCTCCTTGACCAGCAGCAACAGCCTCACCTGGTAGATGGCTAGAAATGCAGAGTTTCAGGCCCTACCCCCAGACCTAATGAACCAGTTTCCCATTTAACAAGATCCCCAGAGGATTTGTCTGCACTTGACAGTTTGAGTGTGAGGGCTTTAACAATCATCTTTCCTAAAGCACCCCATTTTAGTTAATCTCCACATCTGTTCCTTCAGATAGAGTTGATGAAGTTTCTGCAAGATTGATACACCATGGAAGCTGTGGCTAACAGAAACTAGCACTCTCCCTTTCTAAGAAATATAAACAGTGAATTTCAGTCAAATGGCATCCAGAAGGTGAGTCCAGAGATTAAAATCCTAGGCCTTCTTGAAAATCGATTCACATACCCTTTCTCTCTCTAAGAGACACCAAAAGGAATGGCATTACCATCCCCTTTACCACTTGAGCATTAGACCTGTGGGAGAAGCTTCATCTCACTGCATCTAGATTAAATTCTGTGATTGTTTGCTACAGGCACGGGCCACATTCATGAGCTGAACATGCCATCCCCAGGCTAGCGTCTTCCTGGGTTTGGGCTGACTGAAAGCCAGAGGAAGGAACTACGCTGCTGGGTCCAGGTCAGGAAGAGAGCACCTCATAGGATGCAGGTTCCAAGTCTGATAACGAGCACCCAGGTGACAGGGACGTAGGAGTCTGTACATGCTGTCCACCCGTGGCATTTATCCATTTAGGGTTGTCTTGCATTTCTCTTTTATGCTCCAGGCTCTTCAGGCTCCCAGAGGCCAGTGCCTGACACATAGATGTTGAATATATATCCATTGAACAAATTAACAACAATCCCTTTTGTAAAGGTCTCATACCTATTATCTCTGACTTGACCAAGTGAGAAGGGACAATGAGAGAGGCTTTAATGAACTGCAGTCAGCTGCTTAGTGCAGAAGCTGTCATCAAAGGAAAAGCAGAGCTGGGGGCAGTCAGGGTGGAGAACCAGCCCTGAATTGAAGCTCACACTCACAGAAAGGAAGTAGGGCATCTGTCATGATTGCTGGCTTCCCTTTACTAGCACTTCTTGCTAGCATTTTTCTTTTTTTTTTAATGTCACAGTGAGCTCTAATTTGAGCTGCTTTTATTGTTCCCCAAAGACTTTGGGTATCACAAAAACTGAAATCCAATCCGTATTCTTCTTTGGCCTTTGGGGAAGTGGAACCTGGGTGTGTTTGTCATTTTTAGCAGTCATTGGAGTAGAGCCAAACCTCCAGGAGACACTAAAAGTATTAAGAATTGTTCGATTGGTTGTTGGAATTAGCTGTTAAACAAAGTGGCCAGTAACTGAATGCTGGGGACCTTCTTGAACTCCAGTTGGGTGGGAGACCTTCCAGTGTGTGTGTCAGCTCTGAACTAGGACAGAAAGGTAGAGATTGGAAACAGTGGGCTGGTGACAAAGCAGCTGATAAAAGCACTCTCCTCTCCCTCTTTGTCTGGGAGTTTCGTCTTGTCTCCAGCTTGCTTCCTTTCTTTGTCCCTGCACTGTATTCCAATGCTGTCCTCCCGGTCAGATTTACTGATGAGCGGAAGAGAAACCCTGGGGGAGGCACTGGGCTTGTGTTCCATAATGGAAATAATCCAGGGCCTAGCTGCTGTCTGGTACACAAAGGAATTGTGTTCTGTGGGTTGAAAGTAGAAACGAGAAGGGAAATCTTGCACATTGACTTAGTCTCGTTCACTTCATCGTCTGTAGGGGAGTAGATTATTTGTTGTAGAGAATTCAGAGAAAGTGCCTGGGTTTATCTTTTCCTGAGCATACTTCTGAAATATTTCACACACAACAAACAAAACCAATTTTTAAAGCACCACTTAGATTGACACACTGTTTCAAAACATATCCCTTCCCAGCCTTAGAGCACCACCACCACCTTACTTAATCATTCACTGGAACTGACAGAACACACTGAGTGCTGTGCTTTTCAGAAAGAAGGTAGGAATTTAGACCATATCAGTCATAGAATTGAAACCTACCACTGGTGTAAGGCTTGAAAAGTATATTTCATTATATTTATTTTCCGTAGAAATATAGAAATAAAGAATATTTTCATTCTAAAGATGACCAATGTCATCTTAGCATTAGCTAAAATACTAAGATGGACACATAAATTTAAAATAACCAAAAATGCCCATATTTGCAAGGAAGTAATGTCTAATAGCATGCATCTACATTAAGCTTCCTTGGTGTTTATCTAAAGATAGTGTGGGCTCAGTAGATGTTAGCAGTCAAAAATGATGGTGGGTAAAAGGCAAATGAGTTGAGAGCAGACCTGGTGGTTATTTGGTGTACATTTTAAGTTATTTTTTACCTGGGATGTTAGCTTAGGTGTATTCTATTCGTACATGTTAGAAGCCAGTTGCCATGAGCTAGAATTTACAGGGTTTCAAATGGTAAGAGCAGCTATTTAGAGCCTCATAGGAAGCAACTGTTAAAAAGGGCAGTACATCTGTTTTTAGTGCCCACTAATCCTCAATCAAGAAGCATTAAACAACTGGCACATTGCTAGTTCCCATAATCTACCTGAGTAATAGCGATTTTGCTAAAAATTAAGTCTCATGCCTTCAAAGGTATCACGAAAAGCCCTTCCCAGAATACTTTTTTCTCTGATCTTTAAGCCTGTGTGGGAGGAAGAGCTTATTCACCCATTTTCCAGATGAGACAACAGGCCCAGGTTGTGACTTGCCCCTATTCACATAGGGCATAACATAGATTTTTGAAAAGCACTGACACCTTTCAGACCCTCTTGCCTTCTTCCCTGTGAAAAAAGCAAAGGCTGCAGGAGTCGCTGTGCCCTCATAGCTGTCACTCCCTATAGATCTGTCTTCTTAGTCGTTTCAACCGTATGCTACATTTTGAGTATTTAAATCTTACTGTTAAATATTGCTTTCTTTTTTTTTAATGTCTTCTCTCTGACTAGACTATAAACGCCCTGAAGACAGAGGCTAGCTAGCTCTTTTTCACCTCCTATTGCTTCCTATACCTTGTATGGATGGCATTTTGAACCTAACAGGCCCTTAATAAAAACCCGTTGATTTGGTAGCTCTAAACAGCGAGTGCCAGTTGGATCCTGTTACTGGCAGCACGTCTCAGGGAACAGATGTTCCTGTTCAAATCCATGAAACTGGAAACATTAAAAACAACAGTCATGACGTTGATTGATAGTGATATTCACTGTGTCAGACTGTTTAAGCTCAGCTATAAAATAGACTCTCACATATTGTCGTCTTTACATTTTGATTTCAAAGACTCTCAAACGTTTAAACAATGTCACTTGACTTAGATCCTAATTCTTGCTTCATGTGCTATTTAATATTTCTTTATCAAATTATGCCCCTGTCCTTTTTAATTTCACACTCACAATCTCTTGTTCCTGAGAAAACAGCACCTCTGGGTGCTTTAAGATATTTTTGTTCGTTGTAAGAAAATATCAGCTGGCCGGGCATGTACTGCTGAGAACACAGATGTGGCAGAGCTGGAGAGAGGTGTACAGTGAATGATCTGTCCTCACTAATTCCCTCAAAACTGTACCCAGCAGGTATGTGGCCGTCGTTTGGTTCATAAAAGATCGTCTTAGAACCTGAAGTATAATCTTGAGAGCAAATGTATCATCCTGAAAGGCTGTCCTTTTTATCTAATTCAGGTCCTGAACAAGCAGAGCCACTCTCTATGAGCACCATGGGTTTATTTCATTTTCCTACACCACTGACCAGAATATGCACAGTGCTGTGGGGACTTTGGCTTAGGGAGAAGCCAGCATTGTTATCCCCAGGAATAGCAGTCACTCCAGTCCAGATGGCAGGCAAGAAGGACTGCCCTGCTCTGCTCTCCCTGGATGAAAGTGAGCTTGAGGAGCAGTTTGTGAAAGGACACGGTCCAGGCGGCCAGGCAACCAACAAAACGAACAACTGTGTGGTGCTGAAGCACATCCCCTCGGGGGTTGTCGTCAAGGTAGAGGAGGGAGACTGCTGGGGGTGTCCCTGAATCGCCAGCTGGCAACAGCTTGTATAGCCCAGATTTCTCCTGAGTGGAAGTGGGGTTTGGCTACAGTGTGTTTTCATCATGGCCCGGGGTAGAGGCACTGCAGGCCCCAGGCCTTCCCTGAGCTGCTCCCTGGAGGCAGAACCTCCTACACAGCCTCAGAAGCCTTCTGCCTGGATCCCTGGGAGCCAGGGTATTGCTGCCACCCTTGAATCTGGCAGGCAGCTCAGTTCTTGTAAAGCCACATGGTAGCAAGATGGCTGCAGAGGGCTCTGCGTCCCTGAGAAGCAAGCAGGCCTGGGTAGTCTGCTAGCAGGGTCAGCCCTCAGTGAGTGGGCTGATTAACTTTAGGGTGGTCACATCCTCTCCATCCCTCTGTTCTCTTTGGTCAATGTCAATGACTTACCCTTCTGAGAGTGAGAGAACAGAGGTGAACAATTTACAGCCCTCAGAAGAAAGGTGCTTTGCACGGCTGTCTGTGGAAGTCTTCCCTTCTATAAAAACCCTACCTCTGGGCAGAATACTGCCATGCAGTGCTTTCTCCTGTTTCCTGGTTTAGAGTGTGCCCTGCTGCCCCTCAGGGGGACTGCCAGGCCTTGAGGTCCAGTAGAACAGAGAGCAAAGGCAAGTTTCTAATATACCCATGATTCTAACAACAGGTACTTCTCTGTCCCATCAACACCAGCAGGCACTGGTCTGAGCACCTCTGCACATATTAACTCTTTTAGGCCTCACAGGCCCATGGGACAGAAGTGAAATCCAGCACAGAGAGGTTAAGTAACTTGCCCAGGGTCCTACAGCAGCAGGAGTCAACCAAGCCCAAGCCCAGTGTGTTCCTAACAGCTGTTCTTCACTGCTAAGTCTCTGAGCCCAGCGCATATTAGTTAAAACCTCAATCACTTTTCTTTTCCTCCCTGAAAAAAAAGGTTATTCATGAGCAACAAATAAAATTCTGAGATCTGACATGACTTTGACTTATTTTACGTGACTTTCTCCAAGTCTGCTTTTGTGCTGCCTTCCCCCACTTCTCAGAATTTCCTTTTAATCACACAAGGCACTCACCCCTAATAACTCAGGTGTGACATAGTGAACATTGGGCTGACTAATAATAAAGATACCATTTTCTTGCTTCAGACAGAATTTTACATTTATAAATGGTGCACCCAACATGCTTGTTCCTGGCCACAGGCTAGATAAATCAGTTGATATTTTCATTATTTGGGGACTTTTAAGTTATTTGAAGGCTATTGCTGCTTCTAAACAAAACATTCCCAATTACAAAACAATCATGGCAAAAGCCACATAATACAGCTGGGGTGTGGGCAGGGAGAGGCTGACACAGGCGGGCAAGGGTATGGTGTTTGGTCTGTCACTGACTTGCTAGGGTTCTTCACAACTGCCTTTGCCTCTCGAGTCCCCACCTGTAAAGTAATCTGCATTTAATGATTTCTGAGGTCCTGTCCAGGACAAACTGGTTTTCACATTATAAAATACTATTTCTTACAGTGCCATCAGACGAGATCAGTTGATCAAAACAGGAAGCTAGCTCGGAAAATCCTTCAGGAGAAAGTGGATGTTTTCTACAATGGTGAAAACAGTCTTGTCTACAAGGAAAAACGAGAGGCAGAGAAGAAAAAGCAAGAAAGGAAGAAAAGAGCAAAGGAAACCCTAGAAAAAAAGAAAGTCCTTAAAGAACTCTGGGAATCAAGTAAACATCTCCATGGAGAAGGAACTGCAGATTCTGAAGAGTCTGCCAGGCCTTCCAAGGGATAATGGTGGTCAGTTCCATCACCAGTGCAGTCACAGAGCTTTGAAAGAACAATTTTTGATGGATCTAAAAGACTTCACATTTTTTTAAACTGTAATGAATAGAGATGCACACTTCAAGAATAAAACTATAAGGAAATACAAGCTCTGAAAAAAGGATAGTGGCTACTTTGTGGGACAAAAGGGGCCATCAGTGGAAGGGCTGGCTATTGGCACAGCTGACAGGGTTCTTTCCTGACCTGAGTAGTCATTAAGAAGGACATCACCTCATTTTGCTGAACTACATATGTGGTTGTATCTTGTTGTATTATCAAAGGTGAGAAATAAGTTTTTTAAAAGCATTAATGTTCATAAGGAAGGTCCATTTTTATGGAAAACTATAGAATGGAGTCAAACATTAATAGCATTTAGTACCACCTTGTCATCCGCCAAGAGGTCCCTGCTTGTGATGTCGCTTACCTTAAAATCAGGTCGAGAATATAAAACAAGATGGCAAGATTTGCAGGTTAGAAAGTTCCTTGCCCATTTACCCCATTAGCGTAACGGACTGTGTGTTGCCAAGGAACCCTCTTGGTGTGGAAGGACACTCGTCGTCCCCTTTATGTTGATTTCCAAGTAGATCTGCTTAAGTGATAAGGTGATTTTGTTTGTAAATTCACTCAAAACCATGACTCAAACTGGATTTGACCTTAAAATTGTTGGGGTTCTTTTAAGGCATGGTTAACAGCCTGGCTTGTTAATACATCAGGAATTCACGCCTTAAACAAGTAGGGGAAAACCATGCAGTGAGAAAGCCACTGTTGTAAACAGCCTGCCACCAAGGCCAGTCCATCCGGCAGGCCCAGGGTACATGCCCAGTGCATGCATCCAGATAAATTTACCTCCAGTCAGCCAGGTAGAGGTCGTCTCACCTTGGAATGACCTGATTTCAAAGCTTAGTTCTGTGCAAGGCTCTCCAGACCTCCAGCTGCTATGTCCAGGACCATTCCCCATTTCAGCTTCCACTTAGAAGGGAAGCAAGTAAAGCAACCTGAAATGGTACATAAGCTAGTAGTGGGAAAGGAAACTTGGGAGCTGTTGACAGGAGGCACAGAGGCTTCAGTTTGTCTCTTTTCTTGTACCTTTTTAAATTTCTTGTCATGTCCTTGAAGGAGATGTAGACAAACTCTAGCACCCATTCCTTCCTACCTTTAGACCTGTCAAGGCTGGGACTTGCCTCAAACCTGCAAAACTGGCTGTGTCCCTCATTTGTCTTAGTCTGTCCCTCACCAAAGTGAATCCTGGTAAGTGTCTAAGGCGTGTGGTAAAAATCACCTCAGAGTCCCTTTGGAAGGCACAGCTGGAGGCCGCCACATGGACTCAGCACCACAGCAAGTAATTCTTCCAGTAAACACCAGATGAAGTAGCAAGCTTGAGTTTGGTGGCTGCATTATATGAAAAATAGATTTCCTATGGCACCCAGGCAATGTTCACAGGATAAATACCTATAAACTGAGATGGCCTAATGGTGGGCAGGCAATGGGCTAAGTCAGTAACACTGCTCCTGCTATTATTTTCTTTCCTGGCATTCACTTAAAATCTGCCACAGTTAAAATGCACCATAATATAACTTCACTTGATCCCTGCCTTCTGACAACACAGACATGTTCTTTCTGTGGCCCATGGTGCTGATTAACGTCATCACATAAAATGTTTTTGGGCTGGGGGAAAATACCCTTAGATAGGTTATTTCCCATTCTCACTGAGGAACTATTTTTTAAAATACCACTTACGAATTCAAGGAACCCACATCTTAATACAAACTTAATGAAAATAAGCTTTATTACATCAAGTAATAAATACATACAAAGATGCAAATGGTTTTAGTCATTTTCTTCCAGATGTCTGGATTGACTTACAGGAAGGCGAAAACTGAAGTCTACATACAATCTTATTAGCAAGAAAAGTTGGGGGGAATCCTTGTTAGGTTTGGTAAGTTGCTCTTTCTTCTGTATTTATAACTTGTGCATTTTTAAAATTGACTTCAAAGCACAAATAGTCATGCAAATGCTGAAGCAAAAAAGAAGTTACATAGAGACACTGTATGGCAAACGGGGACTGGCTACTAAGCAAAGCGTGCCATCAGTATGCACTAAAAACCAAACCCTTAGAGTTGTATTAGCTTATGAAAAGGAACAAAGAACAATTTGAGTAACAAATGTATTCAAAAGAAGATGAACGCAAGACGCTGGCATCTTGGAGGCAAACTAGTTTGCTGCGAGACCACTTTTACGTGCATCTTTTTGAATCAATGTTTAAAAAACAAAGACCCGGGTAGTTTCTAACTAATTAAATTGTAAATCCTAATCAACTGCAAAATATTTCTCAATCTCAAGAGACAGTAGGTTCCAAGCCCAATGAGCCATGGGGCTCGCAGAGGAGAAACCAAACTGTTAACCATTTTGAGCAAAAGTTTCATCTTAACAGAGAAGATGAACTGTAACTTCCCTCCATCGGAGGGAAGATGGAAAACCTTTCCACACTAACAAAGCAGCTAGGATCTGGCATTCCGTTCCGTCTCAGCCAAGCACTCCCGAACCAGCCCTCTTGCATGAATGATGCCTGCAAGAGAAGCAGAGGCTGGGAATCATCCAAAAGCCATTCCAGAAGACGACAGGGTGCTTCTCACTGCCCCGCTGTAAACCCCTCTGTCTGGAAGGGGACCCAGGACCTGCACCCAAACACCCAGGACTCTTGCAGTTTGAAAAGGCAGTAACACCCCCCTACACACCTCTCAAAGATCTCCCTCCTAGCCCAAACACTTCATGTCTCCTAAAAATTCCTTTCTGCACTCAAGGTGACAACCAGTAAGCTCTCTTTTCATGACATGTTGACAGATGAACAGGTGAGTGTGTCTCTACCCAAACTCTTTAAGCCTGACCCACTTTGGAGATTCCATGTCTTTAACTCATTATGCTTCTCAACTTCTTCGGACCCTAGAAGGGGCCTGAACAATGTCAAGGAGGCCCACACAGCTGACAGTGCAGAACATCTACTGCTTATTCATGTCCAAACTTGGTCCATGTGGGTTCCTCCTGCAGGTACCTGAACCACCTGCCCCATTACCCTTCCCCTGCCTTTCATCTCCATTTGGTGGTTATCTTTTGGACTTGGTGTTGGATTTTCTTTTGGCCTTTAGTGGACTTCATGAAATATTAATCTCAATTTATAAGACACCAAGAATCTATTTCTTCTAAGAGACAACACCTAGAGGGTTAGATGCCCACACGTCACAGATCTCAGCTTCGGAAAACACTTTCTGTAAAGGGCCAGACAGCATGTATTTTAGGCTTTGCGGGACACATGGTCTCTGTCACAACTCACTCTGTCATTGTCTCATGAAAGCAGCCATAGATATACATAAGCAAAGGGTGCGGCTGTGTCCCAATAAATCTTTATGGAGAATGAAGTTGGAATTACATATAATTTTCACATGTCAGAAAACTTTTTTTCACCACTAAAAAGTGCACAAACCATCTTAGGCCCACTGGATATAGTTTAACGACCTACCAAAAATGCACCTGAGTCCCTGGAGCCCTGGGTAACACCTTCTCACCCTATGACAAATGTGGCTCACTTGGGCTCAGCCGCTGATCAGGATGACTGTGGGACCAGCTGCTCGCTCACCCAGTATATGCCTGAGTGGTCACTGGGTATATCCACGTGTTGACTTGAACCACCAGCTTGTTGGAGGACCACAGATCACTTAGACTTTGGGGTCCAGCATATTCCCAGGGATTTCCATTTGGGTAACCAGCACTCCCATTACTAGGACCATCTCACTTCCTCTGCAAACAGTGGCCTGGGCAGCAGGGTGATGGCCACCTGACCCCAGGTTGGACCAGGGTTAAGGTCCACATCTCTCCCCCAAAGACTCTTCACTGCAGCCTCAAAGTGCCAGCTCCCCACCATGCCTGGGCCTGTTATTACCCACCTGGCCTGTCTCTTCACCAACACCAGTAAAGCCCGCAGCCTTCCCTATCACTGCAGAGTCATGGCCTCAAGTCTGTCCCCCTTTATGCTCAGATTTATCACCAAGGAACGCTCCTCTCATTTCTTTCTAATGTTGCCCCTCCAACCTTTTTAAGAACCCCCAAGTCGCTCCTAAAATTAGATTCACACATAGGCCATTGCTGCTCTGAACTGCCACTTTCTAAAATAGTTGTTCTGTTCTCCCCTCGGCTCCTCTTAAGGAGGTAGAGGCCTATTCACTGCCTCCTGAAATCACCTGGCCGGTTACATCTTCACAGGAATCACTTTTTCCTGTGATTTTCTCCCACCCACCTGCCCTCTTCAGTTGAGAAGGAACCTCAGTGTTCTCACTTCCCTTCCCCAGACTAGGACAGACCCGCTCCCCCCCTTGGAGTTGACAGCAGAAGCCAATGCAGGACCCTACAACTCCATTTTCATCGGCCTTGCCCGTTTGGCCCCCTGCAGCTCCCTGCAATCAGTGTCTGCCAACAGGAGCAGAGTAGGCAAGGGAGCAGCTGCAGAAGCCAAGGTACAAAGATTCCTTTTTAAAGCAGGTAGACCTTCCCGGGAAGCATGCAGGGCAAGGAAGGCTCAGTGCTGGGGCTGCCCTTCTTAGAACCCTCATCTGGCTGCCATTCCCATCAGACCCCAGACAGCCTACATCCCCAGATGCACTCACCCCATCTGATGCCTCCACAACCAATGTTAATTCTGTAACAGAACTGGAGCCCTGTAGCATAGGGGACTCCTCCCCACCCCAACCGTCCAATTTTTTCCCAGAAAATCTTTTAAAACTGGGCCATGCTCTGGGTCACCCCACAGCAAGGTAGCCCTGCAGGAGCTGGGCCTGTGACATACCCCGCTTCAGCCTCTCCATGGCACTCTTGCTCCCTGCGTACGTCGGCCTGATCTCTTTCCCCAGCTCTTCAATGATGGCCAGCAGCTCAGCATATTTGCTCTGGGGTGCCTGACTGTTCCCCGTTCCCTAGAATCAGAAAGAAAAGGGTTCGGATGGATTGAACCCTGACCCCAGTGCCGTGGTCAGGACCCCACCACATGCCCATTCACAGCAAGGGCAGGGCAAGGAGGGGCCCCAGGCAGGTTGGTGGAGGGAGAGCTGCCTGGCCCAGACACGTGGAGCTGCTGCCTCCACAGGCACCAGGCACGTCCCCTCTGAAGGACAGCTCCAGGCCAGTAAGCTGGTCTTCCCACTGTCCCAGCACACTCCAGGAAACCACCCTGTGGGCTCCAGAAAGCCCTTTCATCATCTCATGTGAGGAGAGGTGGACTGGCCTGTCTCGCCAGGAAAGGGGTCACTGAGGTCACCCAGACAGATGAGCAAGTATGTCCCAGGGGCAGAGGGCCCTGAGCAAGTGGACAAGATGGATGCACACCTAGGGTCAGCAGACTACCACAGCTCCAAAGACGATGGGGACGGGGCCCAGAACGTGCTTATATTCATCCACCCCACAGACCCCGAACAGCCCAGAGCAAGCACCCAGGTCAGCAAGGCCACCTGCTCGGGCCTCCCCACACCAGGTGGCACCAGGGCAGGCGCCCCCCCACAGGGCCCTCACCTGCTCCTCCCTCCACCACCACCTCTGCTTGGCCGCTGGGTGCCCCCTCCTCTCCTGGCCCAGCTACACAGCATCCTCCTGCCACCTCTTGGCCTCCCGGTCCCCCTTCCTTTCCTCCCGCCACCACCGCTTCATGGCCTGGGAGCTACACTGCCTCTCCTGGCCATGCCTCAACCTTGTCCTCCTGCCACCACCGCTTCTTCAGACTGTCCTGTGTCCACTTCTCCAAGGACAGGAACAGCCTGGTGGGGCATGGCCACGAGCCACCTCCTACCAAGGGACAGCCTCCATGGTGACATCAGAATGCAGCCAAGAGGTCGCTGCATTCTAGTAGCAGAATTCTTGCAGACAAGAATTCTGCGGCTCATGACCCACAGCAGGGCCTGGCTGCCAGCTGCTCAGAGGCAGTGCTGCCCTACAGATGTGGTCAAGGCCAAAGCCACAGCCCGCTCCAGGGATGCTCCTCCTGGCTCAGGAGGTTAGTGCCTGTGTCAGCTCCAGCAAGGAGACCAGCTCCTGACGAAATGTATCTGGATTCCATTAGGATTTGAACCCTGTCCCCTTTTCACTGGGGCCCCGACCTCGCGGGGAGTGAATGGGAATGGGGCCCCTTCCCTCCATCCAAGCTCAGGCCTTACTTCCCCAGGAACCAGGCCCAGGGAGACGCACCAGAGAGACATGGGGGTCGGGGGGTGCCCCAACAGCAACTGCAGCACTCAGGGCTTCTGGCCTGTGCCTGGGCTCTCCCACCCCTGTCACCTCAGTGTCCCCGTGAAACACCTTGCCATCCCTATGTTCTGATGCCTCAAGTCCTGAACATGAGCCCAGCTAGGACCTCGGGTTGAGGAAGCACAGAGGACTGCTCCCATCTCACTGCTACCCCTTGTTTTCTCCCACCAGCTCCCTGTCCCAGTGGAGAAGAGCATATCTCAGTGCCTGAACCGCCCCTGAGCCTCTCCCACCACATGTTGCCCCCACTGCCATACCTGGGTGTAGCCTAGAGATGGTGGCCCATAGTCACTCAGCAGCTGGCGGTACTGTGAGGATGTCGCCATACTGGTAGAAGGCGGATGGATGCTCCCAGCTATGGGTGAGGAGAGAGCATTTAGGAATTGTGCAGCCTTGGCTAGTTGTACCTAAAGCAAGGACTCTGGGTCCTGCAGAAATTCCCTGCCCAGGACCTGCGCCATCAGTGGTCTTCTGTCTTTGTAGGACAGAGAACATCACTCCTGCCCTCTAGCTGGTGTAGCTGACACTCGGCCCAGATAAGGGACAGTAAATGCAGCTAACGGGCACTGCCCTTCACACCCAGCACCACAGCAGACCCTGCTCATAGGTCATGAATTCCTTCCTGTCCGTGGAGTCCAAACTGGTAGTAAAGGTGAAGTTTGCTGCTATTCTCAGCCTTATCCTGACCAGTCCCTGTCCCCATTCCCTGGGTCCTGCTCCCTAGAAATTAATAACCTAGCGCCACTCACTGCCCCAAGAGCCCACATGCCACTGAAGCTGGCCCATACCCGGGCTGAGACTTCCATGAGCCCCCTCCCCAGCTGGGCCACACTGTGAGGAAGGCAAGGCGAGGGTCTGCGGGACGTGGGACCCAGCCCTTGCTGGGGACTGCTGCACTGGACACCAAGTCAGGAATCGAGAGCACACCACAGCCTCTCTGCATGTCCTCAGACAAGGCCCTCAACCTCTCTGAGCCCCTGCTTCCCCCTCCCCAAAGAGGGGACAGGAGTCTTGACAGTCTGATTCTATGCCCGGATGGCTCATACCAGAAGAGGGACTACAACACTCAGAGACACTGTCCCTCAGCAGTGAAGAACCACGTGGGGCCAGGGCCTCCTGGATGGGGGTGGGCAGGTCCTTGGCAGGGTATTTTCTGGCTCCAGCTCAAGAGCTGGAAGCATACAGACCCATAATGGCGTCCAAGTGGCCATTAGCGGGTAAAGAATGTCCTGCAGAATTACGTAACCATGGAGAATTTACCTAGCCCTCCTCAGCAGCTGCCCGCCTGTGTCCATGCCCGGCCAAGGAGCAGCTCACCCTCTGCCTACTACCCCCTGAGCCAAACGTCTCTCACACACACAGCAGACTCTGTAGACTTGGCCCGGGGGATGGACAGCTGGTGCCAGGCTGGCCCAACCGACCAGATGCTCATCTGGTGTGGGCAACGGGAAGGGTAAGGGAGGAAGGAAGTGCAGGAGCACAAGCCGAAGGAGCTGGAAGAGGCCCCAAGAACCTGGAGCTCCTCACAGTAAAGAGAGAAACAGACCAGAGAGGGTGGGCGTCGCCTGGGAGCCACACAGTGCAGAGCAGGCTAAGCCCCAGTACCTGTCCTCTGTCCAGGAGCTGGGGACAGGTTTTTACCAAGCTGTCTCATGTGGCACCAGGCCTGCCCTGGATTTTCCCCCTGGAGCCCAGTTTTAGGCTCAAGTGGCAGATGCCCAACAGGGGTTCTGTCACCCCTCAGCCGGTCATAGGAGCACTGGCTGGTCTCAGCCTTGGCGCCCCTAAGGTGACAGCACATCTGCACCAGGGGATGTGCTGCTCAGGGTGGGGGTGCAGTCCAAGGAGGCTTCAGGTGTGCAGCAGCCAGATGGCCACCCACCGAGCTCCCCTTGCAGCAGCCAAACCCCACTTTCTGAACTTCCTGATGTGGGCAGTGGGAGAGTGCAGCTCCAGACCTGGGTTCCAATCCTGACTACTACAAGTTGCCACCCTTCTCTGGAGAGCAGGGTGCTCAATGAGAGACTTGGGGGAGGGGCACGTATCATCACACAGCACTTCAAGGCACCCAGAAGATCCTGCCCCTGGAAGAAGGTGAGTTGGCCAGGCAGCCCATTGTCCACACCACCCCAGCCCTCCTCTTCCCACTGTGTCTCAGCCCCAGACCAGCCTTCTATCCTACAGCCAAGAGGCTTGACCAGCCGCCTGTCCAGCTGTGCCACTCCTGGCTCTGTGACCCCAGACAAGGCCATTCCCTCTCTGGGCCTCAATTTCTCCATCTGTTTGAAACAATTCCCAACAAAGTATCTAACGTAACAGTTGTAGATTCTATTCTTCCATGGTTCTGGGGTTAGGACTGGGCTGGGGGGAGGAGTGAGGGCAACAGTCAGGGCTTGACTTCCGGGCACCAGTTGATGTGGTTGGTCAAGCCTGATTCCATGCCAATGCCAGTCCCTTACTCTTGTGTTGAGGGGGTATCTGGGGCCCTGGGGAGAGTTGGCGGAAGGGCCCCAAGTTCCACTCATGCCCTTTCCTTCCTGCAGATGCAGGGAGGGCCAGTGGGTCCAGCTGCAGGAGGCCAGGGAGAAAACCAGACTGCCCTCTGCGAGCATCGCAGACAATGCGCTCAGTGTGCGGGGACCAGGGAGGGCCCGAGCCGGGGGAGGGATTGGCAGAGGCCAGCAGCTCCTGGGGCCAGGCGCAGCTCCCCGCCCCCACACCAGACAAAGAGCGGCCTGGGCCTGGGGAGCTGGCGGCCTTCCCGCCACTTGGGGCGCCTGGGGGGGCCTCTCCAGCAGGAAGGCGGGGGCTTTGTCAAACTCCGCCACTGCCACCACAGGCCAGGCCGAGGCTTGGCAACCCGTGAGCAGGAGGCAGGGCTGGAGGGCGTGAGGGATGATGACAAGGAAGCCGGAGGAGCGGCAGCGGAGAGTCCATCTTGGATGCAAATAGCAGGGGGAGATCAGGGCTTTCTAAGGGGTCCACAGGAAGGGAGGTGGCCCCCACCAAACATCAGAGATCTGGAGACCTTGGCATTCCTCCTAGAATTCACCACAGGAAAAAGAAAAAAACCTGCATACAGGTGCGCTAGCCAGCTGACAACAGGGCTTCAGGGGTCCTGAGTGGCTGCCCGTGTCACTCTGACCCCAATGTCCAGAGGTCCCAGTTAAGGGCCCTTGCCTCAACTATTCCAGGGCAGGCCTGAGATTTCCTATCTGTCCAGGCTGGCAGCAAGACCCTCCACCCTTACCACCCCAGAGACAGATGAGGGAGGCAGGAGAAATCCTACCTGGGCCACTAAGCCTGTCTTTGTAAGGTTTGCAGACCCCTGAGGAAGTGAGAACATTTGAGAAATAGCAGCTGTTTGCTCTTGGGGCTCAGAACCCACACCTTTCCATCTGCACCCTGAATCCTAACCCTTTCCAATCCCCAAATCCATGTCGACGAAGTTATATATATATATACACATATATAAATGTGTATACTGTGCATCTCATTCATGTATGCATATATATATATATACATGCATATACTTTCTAGGTCCCTCTTCAGATTTTTGGAGTTAAGAGTCAATGCTGGGAGACAAGGCCCAAAGCTTGCGGCCAACTGCCAACGTGGCATTTCTGACCAGCAAGGCCAATCCCCTCCCCATCCAGGTCTCTACCGCCCCCCTCAGCAACGTGCCTCCCTTTTTTTAAAATCTGTTTCCCACCAAGTGTCTAAAGGAGAAGGACCTGGAGAGGAGATAAAGCCGATCACCTCGGAACCCCACACTTTTACCTCCCCCTCCCCACGGCTCCCTGGGTCCCCTGGGCAACCCTCTGGGTACAGCCTAAAGCTGCCTGACAACTTCTGGAGGAGTTTACCGGGACCGCCCAGCTCTAGCCCCAGGGACGGGAGAGGACAACCGGCTCCTCCTTACCTCTGCAGAAGGGGGCCTCCTAAGCCCCCGAGACTTGGGCGCTGCGAGATGCGGGACCCGCTGAGTAGTAGCCCCCACGCACCGCCCGCAGGCACTCAGAAGCCCCCGGTCTTCTCCAACTTCGTTCACTGCGCGCACGCCTGCCGAGCCTCCCGCGTGTGGCGTTCTGGGCACCCCCGCTCCCTGGCGCCAGGCCGAACTCCCGCTTATTACAGACTTTCCTGCGCCCCGGTGACCCCGGCGCCCCCGCACCTTCAGGGGCGACTGCACCTGGCACCTCGCCTCCCCCCAGCCCTGGCCACGCGGGGCCTGGTCTTGCACGTGGGGGCCCTGCCGCCCGCGCCCCCAGCCCGGGACTGCGTCCCACTCCCCAAGCGCGACCCGGGCCCCCGCGCCCAGCTCCTGGCACGGCCCGGCCGCTCCCGACTCCTGCCGGCAGGGGCCCTCGCCGAGCCGCCCAAAAGCCGGAGGAAAAAAGGAGCCGAGAAAGCCTCCCCCGCCCTCGGCCGCCGCGCTCCCTGCGAGCCCTCGGCCGCCAGCCTGGGGGTACGGCGGCGGCCGCCCGCGCCCCGGGCCCAGCCCCGGCCCGAGGCCGCCCGCGGCGCAGGGCGCACCGCGAACTTTGGCAGCGCGGGCGCCGGAATCATGGCGGCGGCGGCGCTGCCCCGGACCGGGGCTTGGTGCCCCACGCCCCGGCCGCCGCGGGCCCCCAGGAGCCGGGGCTGGGGCCGGACGCGCGGGCCCCTAACTTGGCGGCACTTGGGGCGCGCGGCCCGCGGGTTGCGCTCACTCACCGGCGTTGAGGGACAGACCAGAGAGGGTGGGCGTCGCCTGGGAGCCACACAGTGCAGAGCAGGCTAAGCCCCAGTACCTGTCCTCTGTCCAGGAGCTGGGGACAGGTTTTTACCAAGCTGTCTCATGTGGCACCAGGCCTGCCCTGGATTTTCCCCCTGGAGCCCAGTTTTAGGCTCAAGTGGCAGATGCCCAACAGGGGTTCTGTCACCCCTGAGCCGGTCATAGGAGCACTGGCTGGTCTCAGCCTTGGCGCCCCTAAGGTGACAGCACATCTGCACCAGGGGATGTGCTGCTCAGGGTGGGGGTGCAGTCCAAGGAGGCTTCAGGTGTGCAGCAGCCAGATGGCCACCCACCGAGCTCCCCTTGCAGCAGCCAAACCCCACTTTCTGAACTTCCTGATGTGGGCAGTGGGAGAGCGCAGCTCCAGACCTGGGTTCCAATCCTGACTACTACAAGTTGCCACCCTTCTCTGGAGAGCAGGGTGCTCAATGAGAGACTTGGGGGAGGGGCACGTATCATCACACAGCACTTCAAGGCACCCAGAAGATCCTGCCCCTGGAAGAAGGTGAGTTGGCCAGGCAGCCCATTGTCCACACCACCCCAGCCCTCCTCTTCCCACTGTGTCTCAGCCCCAGACCAGCCTTCTATCCTACAGCCAAGAGGCTTGACCAGCCGCCTGTCCAGCTGTGCCACTCCTGGCTCTGTGACCCCAGACAAGGCCATTCCCTCTCTGGGCCTCAATTTCTCCATCTGTTTGAAACAATTCCCAACAAAGTATCTAACGTAACAGTTGTAGATTCTATTCTTCCATGGTTCTGGGGTTAGGACTGGGCTGGGGGGAGGAGTGAGGGCAACAGTCAGGGCTTGACTTCCGGGCACCAGTTGATGTGGTTGGTCAAGCCTGATTCCATGCCAATGCCAGTCCCTTACTCTTGTGTTGAGGGGGTATCTGGGGCCCTGGGGAGAGTTGGCGGAAGGGCCCCAAGTTCCACTCATGCCCTTTCCTTCCTGCAGATGCAGGGAGGGCCAGTGGGTCCAGCTGCAGGAGGCCAGGGAGAAAACCAGACTGCCCTCTGCGAGCATCGCAGACAATGCGCTCAGTGTGCGGGGACCAGGGAGGGCCCGAGCCGGGGGAGGGATTGGCAGAGGCCAGCAGCTCCTGGGGCCAGGCGCAGCTCCCCGCCCCCACACCAGACAAAGAGCGGCCTGGGCCTGGGGAGCTGGCGGCCTTCCCGCCACTTGGGGCGCCTGGGGGGGCCTCTCCAGCAGGAAGGCGGGGGCTTTGTCAAACTCCGCCACTGCCACCACAGGCCAGGCCGAGGCTTGGCAACCCGTGAGCAGGAGGCAGGGCTGGAGGGCGTGAGGGATGATGACAAGGAAGCCGGAGGAGCGGCAGCGGAGAGTCCATCTTGGATGCAAATAGCAGGGGGAGATCAGGGCTTTCTAAGGGGTCCACAGGAAGGGAGGTGGCCCCCACCAAACATCAGAGATCTGGAGACCTTGGCATTCCTCCTAGAATTCACCACAGGAAAAAGAAAAAAACCTGCATACAGGTGCGCTAGCCAGCTGACAACAGGGCTTCAGGGGTCCTGAGTGGCTGCCCGTGTCACTCTGACCCCAATGTCCAGAGGTCCCAGTTAAGGGCCCCTGCCTCAACTATTCCAGGGCAGGCCTGAGATTTCCTATCTGTCCAGGCTGGCAGCAAGACCCTCCACCCTTACCACCCCAGAGACAGATGAGGGAGGCAGGAGAAATCCTACCTGGGCCACTAAGCCTGTCTTTGTAAGGTTTGCAGACCCCTGAGGAAGTGAGAACATTTGAGAAATAGCAGCTGTTTGCTCTTGGGGCTCAGAACCCACACCTTTCCATCTGCACCCTGAATCCTAACCCTTTCCAATCCCCAAATCCATGTCGACGAAGTTATATATATATACACATATATAAATGTGTATACTGTGCATCTCATTCATGTATGCATATATATATATATACATGCATATACTTTCTAGGTCCCTCTTCAGATTTTTGGAGTTAAGAGTCAATGCTGGGAGACAAGGCCCAAAACTTGCGGCCAACTGCCAACGTGGCATTTCTGACCAGCAAGGCCAATCCCCTCCCCATCCAGGTCTCTACCGCCCCCCTCAGCAACGTGCCTCCCTTTTTTTAAAATCTGTTTCCCACCAAGTGTCTAAAGGAGAAGGACCTGGAGAGGAGATAAAGCCGATCACCTCGGAACCCCACACTTTTACCTCCCCCTCCCCACGGCTCCCTGGGTCCCCTGGGCAACCCTCTGGGTACAGCCTAAAGCTGCCTGACAACTTCTGGAGGAGTTTACCGGGACCGCCCAGCTCTAGCCCCAGGGACGGGAGAGGACAACCGGCTCCTCCTTACCTCTGCAGAAGGGGGCCTCCTAAGCCCCCGAGACTTGGGCGCTGCGAGATGCGGGACCCGCTGAGTAGTAGCCCCCACGCACCGCCCGCAGGCACTCAGAAGCCCCCGGTCTTCTCCAACTTCGTTCACTGCGCGCACGCCTGCCGAGCCTCCCGCGTGTGGCGTTCTGGGCACCCCCGCTCCCTGGCGCCAGGCCGAACTCCCGCTTATTACAGACTTTCCTGCGCCCCGGTGACCCCGGCGCCCCCGCACCTTCAGGGGCGACTGCACCTGGCACCTCGCCTCCCCCCAGCCCTGGCCACGCGGGGCCTGGTCTTGCACGTGGGGGCCCTGCCGCCCGCGCCCCCAGCCCGGGACTGCGTCCCACTCCCCAAGCGCGACCCGGGCCCCCGCGCCCAGCTCCTGGCACGGCCCGGCCGCTCCCGACTCCTGCCGGCAGGGGCCCTCGCCGAGCCGCCCAAAAGCCGGAGGAAAAAGGAGCCGAGAAAGCCTCCCCCGCCCTCGGCCGCCGCGCTCCCTGCGAGCCCTCGGCCGCCAGCCTGGGGGTACGGCGGCGGCCGCCCGCGCCCCGGGCCCAGCCCCGGCCCGAGGCCGCCCGCGGCGCAGGGCGCACCGCGAACTTTGGCAGCGCGGGCGCCGGAATCATGGCGGCGGCGGCGCTGCCCCGGCCCGGGGCTTGGTGCCCCACGCCCCGGCCGCCGCGGGCCCCCAGGAGCCGGGGCTGGGGCCGGACGCGCGGGCCCCTAACTTGGCGGCACTTGGGGCGCGCGGCCCGCGGGTTGCGCTCACTCACCGGCGTTGAGGGAGGCGGCGGGCATGTGCGCGGCCAAGTTCGGTTTGTAAGACATTCCCCCGAGCGGTGGGGCGCGCCGGGGCGCCGCGGGGCCAGGCCCGCGAGGGCAGCGGCGGCAGAGGGGCCGGGCGGCGGCGAGGCGGGCCCGGCGTCCGTGCGCCCGTCCGTGCGCCCGCCGAGCTCCCGCGCACTTTTTGTTGTTGACGGCTCGGGCCGCACCGGCAAATATGGCCGTCCCTCACCCTGACACCGCCGCAGTATATCACCCATACATCGGGCAGCGGGCGGGCGCAAGGGCGGCCGCAAACTTTAAGCGGAGCCAGCGGGGCCGGCCCGGGCCGGGAGGGGGCGGCCCGGCGCGCGCCGCCAGGCGTCAGGGGGCGGCTCCGCCTGCGGCCGCGCCCCGCGCCTCCTGCGCTCGGCGCCCGCAACTTGGCAAAGTTTGGGGGGCTGGGTCCCGGCAGCGTCCGGGGCCCGAGTGAATCCCTTTCTTGCTTCTGGGTTGCAGCGTCTGGAGATTTGCTGTTTTGCCTTTTAAATTTTTTTTTAATAGGTAGGATTTCAGAATTACTTCCCCCCCACACACACTTGACTGTGGGAGCAGCGATGGAAAATTACCTGGATAAGATGGTGGCGACTGGTATTTTTAAGTACGTAGATCATTCCAGACGCCGAGGTCTGGCTACTTCCCAGAATAAGAACAACCAGTTCTTGACATTGATTTCAAATAAATTCACGTCTCTGTCTGTATTAAGTGGTTTTTAACCCTTTGGAAACCTACGACTCCTTTGAGACTGACGACAGCCTGAGGCCTTCTCCCCTGGAAAATTCGTCCTTTGTCCACATGATTTGCATCTTAACTCATTCAGGTATTTAAGAAACGCCTACTATGTATGCGCCCGGCACCGTTCTAGGCAGTAAGCATAGATGAAAGAACAAAGTTTCTGCTCTCCTGGAGTTTACGTGGCAGTTTTTGACCCTCCTTCGACCCCACCCCAGCCCATCCTCACATCTGACTGAAACGTAATCATCAACTACATCGTGGATTAGATGACTAAGCTTTTGAAGGTATTGTTTCTCGAAGTTGTGCTTGAATTGTAAAGCTCATCAAAATATACAGGACTCCCATCCTTTTCGGCCGTTTTCAGTCGCCGAGCTTTGCAGATGTCACAGACATTCAGACACATCTGGATCTAATGAAGAAGGCATCACCCTCTGCCCAGCAGAGAAGAGATACCACACTGCCTTCCCTTTAGGACTGAAAAGTGCAGGTGACACCTCTCCCCGGCTTAACCAGCACTCTTTTCTGATCAGCTGTAAGCTAGTTCTATCAAGGATGCTCAGTGAAATTAATAATAAATCAATGCCTCCCCCACAGTACTGTGCGATGGCA